GGCTACAACACTATCTATCTATCTATCTATCTATCTATCTATCTATCTATCTATCTATCTATCTATCTATCTATCTATCTATCTATCTCACTCTGAGAAAAAAAGCAATATGGAACAATGTGGTGACGTGTGTTATTTAGAGCTGTGTTATTTCTCAAACCTGGCAACTTTAACATGCTAGCTGGGAAATTCTGGGCATTGAAGTTGAAAAGGTTGAGAAACACTGATTTAGAGTGAGAAATGGGAATGTTGCCTTCCTCATTTTCATTCTCCAAATAGCTTCTATCTGTACCTTCTTGCTGTGGCCAAAGCTCACTAGATCGTGACTTGGGAGACTGTACTTCAATGGTTTTAGTCAAAAGGCTTGAATTGATGTATTGCTTTGGACCTCAAAGACTATCAAAGCATTTGACTCATCCCAAAATTCTATCCCCTTGTTTAAAAGCAGCTGTATCAAAAAAATATCTTATCACAGTAAAATTGCTGTTTTGATGCATGAAACAGGCCTACCAAATGGGCTGGGAGGGGGGGGATCTCTGATCTGCATCTTACCAATGGTGTTGGCTTTCTTAGGCACCATCCGCTTCTGCAGTTTCATCATTTTGATAGCATCCAACCGAATCTCAAAAAAGTTACTGATAAAGGCCAGTAATGGTGCAAGGGGGAAAGCAGCCACGAAAATAGTGGTGAAGCTGTACTGTATCACTAAGGATATAAAGAAGAGGATGAAAAGAGGCAGGAAATTAAACAACATGAACTTTTGATTACTAAATTTGTTGGGCTAAAAAGGATATGCATATTCTAGTCCAAGAGCTTGCAGGCAATAAGGGTACATTGATGTCTCTTCCTTTTCCAAGGAAAACGTCTCTCATTAAAAGAACCTTATGGGAGCTCTAGTTCAGAATGCTTGAGCTTTATGAGTGACAATGCAATACCTTAACTGTACTGGGCATATACAAGTTGGATTCAAGATGTTAACGCTATTACTGTGATCAAGAATATTTCTTTCAAAGCATTGGTGATAAGAAGTACTGAAAGCAATCAATTCAACAATACAGCTACAGTATTTCATTCTCTTGTTCCTCAAAACTATTGTGTAGCTTTGACTGACAAAACAGCCAGCATTCTAACCTTAGTTTCACAGGTTGCTGAGTCTTATAATGTTCTGTGAGCTTTTCCATTGAACTTCACTTACTCATCTCCATGTATTCATCAAACAAGGTGAAGACATTGACTTCATTGAGCTGATAGTTCCATAGCCATTCCTCCTTGCATGAGTCCTGGGATGTCTCCTCCACATGGGGCTTTCTGTGCAGCAGGCGGCACTTGTAGGTCAGGGAACTGAAGGGGAAAACATGTAATATTAAGGAAAGTAAGATTCAAAAGTAGACATCTGTCAACTGTTACGGTGCTCATGAATATCCACTGTTAAGGAGGCTAACAACAGACATAATCCACCTACCCTACAACTTGATGACTTCCCCAAATGGGAAACCCACAACTCCCATTTTCCCAAATTCTCAACTAATTACGTTACCTTTCTTTTGCAATATATATATATATATATATANGCAACCGGCAGGCGCGTCTGATTGGCTAAGACGCGCCTGGCTGCTGCCGCGCTGTCATTCGTAAGTCTGAGGACTTACGAGGCTGCAACAAATATCAATTAAAAATGTGAAGTGAGGGCCTAAGGGCATTAACCAACTCCATGCCTGCATGGGCTCCACATCTAGAACCATGTTTTGAATCCTTTTAGGAGGGCCAGGAGAGTGAGAGCCTCTCTCACCTCATTGGGGAGAATATTCCACAGAGTAGGGACAATGGCAGAGAAACCCCATTAGTTAGATTTTTTTAACTGATAGGGTCCACAGCATACCTTCCATACTTGACTGGGTGGAATGGACTGATATAATGGGATGGAGGTCCTTCCATAGATAGTCTGGTTCACAACTAACACCTTGAATTAAACATAGAAGCAAACTAGCATCCAATGCAGATCATGGAGCAGAGGTATTACATGTGCCCTTCTTTGCTCACCCAATGTAGCTTATGTGGCTGCATTCTGTACCAGAGGAAGATTCTGGATACTTTTCAAGGGTAATCCCAGGTAGAGCATGTTGCAATAGTCTAAATAGGCATGGGTGACTGAGCAGAAAACTTGCTCAACCACCTTTCCCCAAAAGGGGAGGTGGGAGATTGGATGAAAGTTGTCCAGAATGGTAGGATCCAACAATAGCTTCTTGAGTAGCAGTACACCAATGCCTCTTAAAAGGAGCTGGAAACACCATTCCAACAATGATATATTCACCATCGCTTGAATTAATCCATATGACACCTGCTAGACAACCTTAAGAACCATGTTGGCACAGTGATTAGAATGCAGTACTGCAGGCTACATCTGCTGACTGCCAGCTGACTGCAGTTTGGCAGTTCGAATCTCACCGGCTCAAGGTGGACTCAGGCTTCCATCCTTCCAAGGTAAAATGGGGACCCAGATTGCTGGAGCAATATGCTGATCCCTTACTCTGTAAATTGTTTAGAGAAGGCTGTGAAGCACTGTAAGCAGTATTTATGCATAAGTGCTATTGCTATTAATCAGCCAGAAGGGGCATGGATCTAATGCACAGGTGGTGGTGTTTGCATTCTTTAGGATCTTGTCCCTTCTTTAGGTCCAAAGAATCAAACTGTTCCCAGATAACTGGATAAGTCTGCTCCCGGGCATCTCCACAGAACTTACACAAACCATTGTTATCCATTTTATACCTTTTTTATTCTGTGGATTTTAAAAATATGTCTAGTATGGTTGGAGTTGGGAAGAATGAGGCTAAACTAACTCCTTGCTAGGCAAGATTCAAGTTCAATATCTAGTTGGCTGGTCAAGCTGGGGAAGGGTCGACTTCCGGGGAGTGGCCAATATCAAGAAGATAACTCTTTTTTCAGACAAGAAAAAAGCAGTGAGGAATCTCAGCTGNCAGAAAGTGGATAGAAACAGGTAAACTTTGCAATTTATTCATTTTTCCTACTTTCCCGAGCCTCCTTCACATACTTTTTCTCTGCTTTAAAATATATTTCTCTGCTTCAATAGGCAAAGGTTCTTAGAATGCCAATGCAAAGTTTATTTTAAAATCGTTTATTTTAATGTAATTTATCATTTAACTTCTAAAGAGCATAGTCAGACAAAACAGAAGTAGCATAAAGTAAATCCTAGTATGTAGGTAAAACCAGTTTTAGTGCAAATCAGTTCTTTCATTAGAGTGCTGAATACAAATTATAGAAAAGGAGGAGGCCTACATCCAAAAACCTTGTCTGGCCTGCTGTGTACTTTGTTTTGAATCAGAGGGCACAGGAACATTGATAGACATTAGCCAATACCTGCAATGAGTTATCTTATTCCCCATTGGGTCCGTCAGATTCACAGTATTCTCAAAGTGCTGGACATTGAAAACTGAAAGGCTGTGGTTGATATAACCTGTCAAACAGCTATGGAAGCACAACAAAGCAGCAATCAGTATGTGCATTACTTCAGTTCTGCAGGTTGTAAAACACTTAATTTTGGACCAGAAGATATTTTATTTTAGTCATTCCTTTCCCTTTTGGTTCATTCTAACCAAGGTTCAAGGTAACCTAACTACAATCAGAAATAGGAAGTCACAAGAAAAATGTAATACTATTAAAATCAAACTCTATCATTTAAATAACAAAGGCTTGGTGAATCATGCAGCTGTTAAAAGGGGAGGAGCAAGAGAGCTTGGTGTTATTGGTGTACTGATAACACCTCACTCTCAAAATCTAATGGCTTCTTTCAGCAGTTTATGTTGATATTATATACAACAGAAGACAACATAGAACATTGGAGGAGACCCTAAGTCAGTGACCTAGCTGTTGAACAACTCTTATAGTGCCACCTTCTGGGCATGTCTCAAGAGGAAAGACTGGATCCAATGCAAAACAATGACCCCATGATCTAACTCTGCCAAAAGGCCATGGTTGACTATAAAACGTTGTTGAGAGTTACAGGAGAAGTAGAGGTTGGTACCCCTTTGCATCTACCTAACTGATATACCAAGGTGACCAAAGCAGCCTCAGTACCATATCCCAGATGAAACCCTGATTGAAATTAATCCAGAAAATCAGTCCATTACTTTTTCAATCATTTTTCAGATTCCAGAATGGGATATTTGATACTGGGCTATAATTAGAAAGGACTTTGGGGTCAAGAAACAACTTTGTCAGTAAAGGTCTTATAGTTGTTTCCTTTAAAAGCAGCAGAAACTAATACCAGGCTCAAGGAGAGAGATGATAGCTAGATAACAATAGATAGATAGGTCAAAGAATCCTCTATCATAAGTCCTCTTTGCTGCAAGCACTGCCATGGAATGAGATTTCAAATGATCCTGAAAGAAGGCCCCATTCTATGTCTGTCCTATTCATCACAATATATACTTACTATCTTAATTCTTTTTTAGTTCCTATTAGCAACATTGATAGACATGCCATGTTTCAGATTTCCAATCGCAAACTGCATCCTAAATACAAAAGTTTGCCCTAATATTGTAATTTCATTATTACATGAAACAAAATATTACATGGATATGCATCTGGATTAAGTTAGAAAGCACTTAAAAGTCACCGGGTTCATTGATGGTCAAATTTAGAATTTAGAATTTAATATAATTTGTATGCCGCCCAATCCCGTGGGACTCTGGGCGGCTTAAATATGGGAGACATTTTTCCTCAGCGCAATACTTTTGGTTACAGGACATGCATTACTATGGTTTAAAATGGCCACCAATAAAGGGACAATATTGGATTTATTTTTTGTGAGGAAGAGTCAGAGATATTCTGTCACACATATTTTGCAAAATGTGGCCAGTCTAAAAAGCTATTTAATTTCTTTTTCTGTGGTTTTCAAGCATTGGTCTATTTGACTAATTCTATTTTTTTTCTCTTCATTTTAATCTATATACCTTTTTACTCCTCTCCATAACCATACACCAAGAGGCCCCAGGAACATGACAATCTCAGCTATTCAACTACATTTTAGATTGTTTAGTAATGGGAACCCAGCGTGTGTGGTTCAACATATCATGTGAATCAAGCCACTGAGCTGAGTTATTTACGATTATTTACCATAGATAAACATGTCACACAAACAGGGAAGAGAAGCAACAGGATCCACTACAAATACAAGCTCACCAATCCTTACAAACATTACAATGTTTTTGAAACCCAGTTATATTCCTATGATGATAACAATGAAGATTATCCATATCTTTTATCCCACTAACCTTAAGCTTAGAGGAAAACTATGAACAATATATTTATTTAAATAAAAAACCAATATATGATACATTTAATTTAATAGCCATGTTAGAATTTCAGAGAATACTAACTCAATGCCAGTATTGTTCTTCTGCTTGCATGGACTGAATGTATATTGATACACCAGAATGGGGATGAAATCTGAGGTGAAGGCAATAACTAGGCCATTGCCAATGACAGAGAGTATACCAATTGTTTCTAGGATGTAGTACCAGATACCTGTAAAGGGAATGAAAAACAAAAGAGATACTATCTTAGTCCAGAGGTGGGTTCTTACCGTTTTGGATCAGTTCATCCGAGTAGCTAGTAACTTAGCTTGCCATGCCCCCAAATCAGTTCTCTCGGTCATAGGCTCCACCATCTTGTTTTTGCTTCTGCGCATGCGCAGAAGGATTTTTTTTATACTGTGCATGCACGCATAGCATGTATCAAGCATGTATGCATGTGCAGCGTGTCCCTGAGCAAACCGGCAGTAGCAGCAGCTGGAACCCACCCCTGGTCTTAGTCAATATGTGGAAGAAAGAGAATTTACCCTAATTGTAATGAATCCTTACCCCTGCCCCTCATAGGGAAGAATAGTGTTTTTCCTGCAAACTGCTTTAAATGGAGCATTTATTTATGGAAAATGTAGAATATAAAAGAATTGCAGGCTTCATTAATTGGAGTAACAAGGATTTCCTTCTGTCTTGTTCACTTTCTATAGAGGTACAAATGAGACTATTTTTACAAACTGCATCAGTGTTTGGTTTGGTTGCAGCAGTGCTTCAGATAGAAAGTCCATAACGAGAGTAATAAGAACAGCCTTACCTAAGGACAAGATTATAGGATGCTCACTTCCTGTAATTCAGGATACTGCGTATAAGCGCTATGCGCTTAGAGCCCAAAGCATTGTTAGAGACTCTCCACACCCATCAGTGATGCTGTTTCTGTTGCTCCCCTCTGGGAGGAGGTTTCAAAGTATTTCTAGCAGGACTACCAGATTCTGTAACAGCTTTGTTCCCTATGCCATCCATCTGTTAAACTCACAAGATTTGATTCTCATGAACATGTATACATTCAAACTAGACTGTGTTGTTTCTCTGTGTCATATAATATATGTCGGTATATGCATAATTTTGTATTTATTTATTTATTTTGTCATGTTTATGAAGTGTATATCGGAGGTGGTGACCCTTTGAGAGCTGTATGCAATGAAATTAATGTTCATTCAAAATGACAATAAAGTTATTCTATCTATCTATCTATCTATCTATCTATCTATCTATCTATCTATCTATCTATCTATCTATCTATCTATCATCTGTTAAATCGGCGGTAGAAAGATAAGAGGAGGCGTCTGAGGTAACTTTGAACCATTTATTCGAACAAGAACAACATAGAACATCAACTGTGAGTAGACCGGCAGGTCTCCTTCGTCTGACAGCCTTTTATACTCGGCTGTCAAAAGGTTCAACCAATTGCCTCGCGTATGACAGCCCAGCAACCGGCAGCCGCGTCTGAATGGCTAAGACGCGCCTGGCTGCTGCCGAGCTGTCATTCGTAAGTCCGAGGACTTACGAGGCTACAACACTATCTATCTATCTATCTATCTATCTATCTATCTATCTATCTATCTATCTATCTATCTATCTATCATC